TATATTAATTTTCCACTAAAGATTTTAAGAATTGGTTCAATCATTCTATTTTAATGAAATATGATTTTTCCCAGTGGGGCTTACCAGATTTGCCTTACTGCCTTTTTGGTAGCATAGATACACTCAAGACCATAAGGTCTAACAGGTTGCTCAGTCAAGACAAAAGAGATATTTGCATTTGAACCTACACATGTAAAATATTTCCTGCACCTAGTTCTAACTAAAGATAGGTATTTCTAGGTAGGGATATGTTTATTCAGTAACTTAAAAAATGAGGCTGGATGTGGTGTTACACACTAAAAAATAACATCTACAAAAAAAACAGAGATCAGGTGTATTCCAGTTTAAAGCCAGCCCCAGCAAAAAGTTAGAGACTCCATCGCGACAAACAAGGTAGGAGTGTTGGTGTGTGCCTGAAATTCCAGCAATAGGAGAGACTGTAGGTTGGAAGATTATAATGCAATCCTTGACTAGGCAAAAAGTGCAAAAGACTATCTGAAAATTAACCTAAACCAAAAAGGTCTGGAGGTATAACTAAAATGGTAGAGCACTTGCCTAACCCTAGTACCACCACAAAAAAGAAAAAGAAAAATTAGTTTCATGTCATCTGCTTCTTTATTTGTAGTGAGGAATTTAAGGGGATTAATTATTTAACACATTTTGTTATATATAATATGAAATTATATATTTGATATAAAAATAGATTAATTTGAAATAACTAAATATAAGATATTTTATATAGCAGTCAACAGAAGCTTTGTTATGTAAAGTACTTAAGAATTTCTTATTTAGATAAAAATAGGTTGTGAATGGCCAATTAGAAAGCAATTTTGATAGTATCTGAATAAGAACAGATGAATGCTGAAATTGATGTGATTCCAAATTCAAGATATGCAAACAACGAAGTGAATGAGTACCAATGGTGCATCTTATAGAATGATTTTCATTGCTACATAGAAAAATTTTTGCTTGATTTTGATAATTCATTGAAGAATCCTTCTACATCTCTACTTTGTTCAATTTATTTTATATTCTCAAAATTCTCATTATTTTCTCTCTGACTACTGGTATCTTTGCATGGTGCGTTATTTCCCATATCTCATAAAATCTTTGATCTTGTTTTCCTTCCAGGACTGAGACCTGATGTGAACTTTGATCTACTTTGAGTCTTTGTTTCCTTCTGTGTGAAATAACTATAGTTCATAAAATGTGTGTTTCTCACAATTCTTGTAGAGTCTAAAAATTAATGGACAGGGAAATTCTGAGAATGTTAGTTTTTATATATGTACAAAGATAATATATTTTTCTTACTAAATCTGGACACTGTCAATATGCTGCCTGCCTTAACAACTTACCATTTTCTATAAAACTTGTTTTAAGAAATCTGAATGACAATACAAAATATAAAATCAAGGAGTTTACAAATACATGTTGAAATATGAAAGAAACAATAATTCTTCATGAGATGGAAGACTTGTATTTCCAGTAATGGTTGGAGTCTTGGTTCCTTGACTTAATTATTTCTCAGAAAATACAAGTGGCTTCCTCCTTACACATATGTAAATAAATTAACTATGTATGAAGTACTCAGTTAGATGAAGGGATGCAGTTTACCTTTATTTTAAAGGTTTTTGTACATAATTTTCTTTATCATTTAATATTTTCCTTCTTAATTGTATTTTTCAAGTTCCTTATTTTTCTAAGCTAACATAAATGTCCCTTATGCTTCAAAGGGAATATATTATTTATTGTTTTGGAGATTACTGTTCCTATTAAGTCTATGCATGAAATGTAAAAATGCCAGAAAACAGCAGTTCAAAGAAGGAAAATGTTTAAATTCCCAAATAATTTAATTCAAACCTACCAATCTATCAGATTTACAAAGTTTGTTCTCAGGAGCATAGTGACTCTTAACCAAAACGTAACAAAATAAAATATAAAACCCAAAAATCTTTACCCAAGTAAAAATAACAAAGAAATTGTCAGCATACCTGGGAGCTTGAATGTATGATTTTATTAGATAATATCTATTTTATTTTTCAGCTACTTACAAATAATATACATAAACAAGAGTTACATTAACGCTTTCAAATTTACAATATATTAAAATGAATTCCATTGAATGCTTTACCAATTTATTTAACTTCTCTATTTCCATAAGTCCACCCAATAAACTTATTTATTAAATTCAGTTTATGTTAGAGGCAGCTGTGGAGCAGTAATTTGTGGCTAAAAAAGATGAACAACTTACCAAAAACTCAGATGAAGATGCTTTGTTTAGAGATTAGACATACTGCTCAAAAGGTATAAACCACTAACAAACTGATTGACAGAAGCTAGATCCGTGGGATGGTCTATAACGAGAAGACTAGTTGCTCCTGGAGGTAAAGAAATTATAAATTCCATAAACCAGGGATCTGAAGTCACTAGATTCACAGCCCTATAAGTAGGAGCTTCTATCCATAGCTCGGGGAATGGCAGCTGCCCAGAGGTGCAGGGTAAGTCATCAAATATGATCTTACAGTTTTTGCCTGGGCTTTCCTGGGATTGCAATCCCCCTGTCTCTACATCTAGAATGAGAGGTGGGTGCCACCACGCCTGGCCCTAGTGTACTTTGATTATATTCAAACCCTCTATTGCTCTTTCTTATCCCTCATTCTTCCTTCTTGCCTTTACCTCCGCACTGCCCCACACTCCTAATAGTCGCCCTTTTACTTTCTTGACCTTGGTTTCATTTCTTTTTGTTTCTGTTTTTCTTTCCTCCCCCTTTCTTCACACTTTCTAAGCAGGCACTCTACCACTTGAGCAGTGCCACCAGCGATCCATTTTAAAAATACACAATGGATTAACTGTTGTCACCATGCAGTGCAACATATCACTAAGATTCATTACTCCAGTCTAATAAACTTCATACCCTTTGATCTACATCTTCCCTTTCCCCATTCTTCTCCTCCCTGGACTCTCTGATAACCACCTTTCTGCTTTCTGCTTCTATGAGATCAACTTTTTTAGGTTGCACATGTGAGATCATACAGTATTTGTCTTTCTGTGGTGGGTCATTTTACTTAACAGTGCCAATTCCACCATGTTGTTGCTAATAACACAATTTCTTTATTTATTTGAATTTTAAAGTAAATTATTTTAACTGATATACTAAAGCATAAAATTGTAATATAATAGGTATCATGTGGTTTTCAAATCAAGTTCACATCATATAAGATGAAGTCAGATTGACACATCTATGTTCTCAACCATTTATCATTTTATTATGATGAACACATTCAAGATTACTTCTTCTAGCTTATGAAAATGTATATTGCATAATTGCTCTATAGCCATCTTACTGTGCCACATCACACCAGAACATCTTATTCTAATCCTCATTGACGCACGCTTCCCTCCTCAGGTTCTCTCCCCTGTCTCTGGGAATCACCATTCTACACTCAAGTATTACATCAACTTATTTAGATTCCAATATAAGTGAGATCACATGGTACTTGTCTTTCAGTGCCTGGCACATTCACTGAAAATAATGGCGCTTCCAGTTTCATCTATATTGTCTCAGTGGTAGAATTTCATCCATTTTAACAGCTGAGTACTATTCCAATGTGTATAGGCGCCATTTTCTGTGTTCATTCATCAGTTTTTGTTTCATTTCTTGACTATGGCAAATAGAGCTTCAGTGAACATGGAACCAATGTCTACCTGATCATTTTTTTGGCTATGTATGTACCAGTAGTGGAATTGCTGGATGATTTTGGATTTCCATTTTTAATATTTTGAGGAATATCCATACTGTTTTCCATAGTGGCTATATTAATTCATACTCCCTCTATCAGAGTGTAAGGATTCTCTTTTCTCTACATACTCTACAACATTTGTCTCTAGTCATTTTGATCAGAGCAATTTTTACTGGGGTAAGTGCTATCTCATTGCAGTTTTGATTTACATTTTTTGATGAATGATGATGTTGAGTATTCTTTTTTGGAAGGCTGTGTACTACAGTGAGGTGATGCATTTGTTAATTAGTTTCACTGCATCTTTCTATGTATAATGTAAACATATATCAAAACATGCCATGTATCCATAAACAGCTATATGATTACTTGTCAATTATAATAAATTAATAAAAATGGCAAAGTGGAATATTAACTCTACGATGCTGATCCTTCCATGAAGTTCCATAATTTTTCTCAATACAGACACTTAGATAAGTGATCATATTGCATATTCATCAGTAAGATGGAAGCAAATTGATCTCTTTGTCTAAGAAAAATTGGATGACTTTAAGAGAAATTATTTAAAATTCATACACTATCATTTACATTTATCTTCAGTTTAGTTTTCCTTCATGCATAACCATGACCATATGAATTTAAATACTTTTCTTGTCTCTGCATTCCTGATAGAATGACCAACTACCATGGCACAAAAGACCTGTTAGGACAGACTTGAGGGTCCATATTTTATGAGGAACCAATTTAATCCCTGCATCTGAGATTTAATTAAAAGTCTATATATTCAAGCAATATATCGAACTGCCTGTAGCATGTGAAAGAAAAGCATCCAAGGTTCCTGAAGGTTTGTTCAAGTCCTCAACCTCATAGAACTTCAAAACCATTGTTCACCTGCATATTGGTCCTTTAATAAGAACCCCTCAAATACGTTACACACAAAATCCCAGTAAAAAACCACTACCAAAACCAGTAACAACTGAATATTGGTTAAAATTTGAGCATTCATCCAATTTGAAAAGGAATTCCAACAATATAAATTCTATATCCAATGGAAACTTTAGATTTTATTTTGAATTAGTACACAAATCACACATTTTCAAAAGAAATCCATCAGCCAGTATTTAGGGTCAGAGAGAAGGTGATAAAATAGTAATCAGAGAATAAGAGGGTAATTCTTACTGTAAATAATGAAGACAATAAAGGTTAGGAATAGAGACACAGATGAGATAGATCAAAGAGTAGACATTTAGTAAGATGATCAGATCAGAACCCAGATCCAGTTCCACAGGTTGGCCTGTAACAAGAAGACTGGCAGGCACTAGAAGGCAAGTAGGATGGGCGGTATAATCCAGATCCACAGCCCAGGGAAGAGAAGCCCTGGGGTCTGTAACCCAGGGGTCTGAGGCCACTGGATCCACAGCTCACTGGGCGAGAGCAGCTGCTGGATCCACAACCCAGAGTTCCAGAATTCGTCTGGCGAGGATCACAAAGTGTGGAGATCCTGGGGCGGTGGCAGGGTGTGTGGCAGGGGCTGGACACCACATAAGGTGTCTGGGATCTGATGGGTCTGTAGATCGTGTCCTGACAGCCACTGTGGAGAGTGGAGCCCAGATGGCAGGGTCTAGGAGAGCACAGGTTAGTGCTGTGGACCAGGTTGCTGTGGTCGGAAGTTCCACAGGAAGAGCCTGGATATTGCAGGTGGTCCCCGACGGAGCTGGAGAAGTTTCTAGAGCAGCAGCTGTAAGACATACTGACAGCAGGTATGGGTTCAGCTGAATGCAACTGAGAAGATTCTGAGTTTGAATATCGCTCCTCGTTTGGGACATTTATATATTCTCAGTAAATGGGTGTGGCACCATACAGTGTCATCTTTTCCATATTTGGACTCCCTCATTTGCATATATGCAACTCAGTAATCTTCTTTGTAATTTCAGTTAACCAGGTCCCTTCATCTTACATTTATGGGTGAACTCATTCTGTTTTTATAGCTGTGAGTCAATGAAATACACTTATGTTACAAATGCTATGACTGTATTTAATTAATGCTTACTCTACCATAACCAGGAAAGCCCCCTTATTTTCTCTGACTATAACTTGTACATGTGCTCCTGTTTTGGCAGGGGAATTGTTTCTTTTTGTGGTGAGACTAGCAAAGCAGTTTTCTTCCTTTTGATCAGTAGTGGAGTGGCAGAGATTCTGTATTGATTAGGAACCATTTTAAGATCACCACACATCAAACCATTGATTCATACTCTTCAATGTAATGTACCATTGTTATGCGCTATTATCAATGCTGATTGATGATGTTCACTCTGAAGGAGCCATACTGAAAGTCAGCCAAAGCACTTAAGATGGCAATGTGGATAATTCCGAGGAAACATGTAGAAAAAATAGTACTTACAAAAATGAAATTGAATCTAAAAAGAGACCATTCTGGGCCCATGTAGAGCAAAACAGTAACAAACACTATTGAAATGGCATAGTAAACAAGTGGCAGTAGCAGAAGGAGGGACAGAATTGTCAGGGTATTTTTTCTAACCACAAACAATGAATGGAATACTGCTGTAATAAATCAGTCAGTAACATCAATATTGTTTAAAAAAATCAACTTAATTCATGGTTTTGGTATGAAAAATTTGTAAATTACCATAGGATCTCTCACTTTTCTCCAGTGAGCACACATGTATACACACACACACACACACACACACACACACACACACACATCTCCAAACTTTATTTCAAAATTTTAATGCCTTCAGAGAATTTGTATGGGCATGCTAGCTTCCTTTTCTTTTTTCCTCCCTACTTATACAAAATTCTGTCTCAGCTTTCTGACTAACAGTGGATCAGATTTTGTAAATCTGGGAAGAGTATATTTTTATGACTCCTCATTAAGAAAAAGAATAGAGTATCATATATAATAATAAATATAAATGTGAATGTTAATTTAAAATACAGATAATAATCAAAACAACCCACAAATATCATAAAGTCAAGACAATGATATTATGCCATGATCATCCATAAACTTTTCCCTATATTTTACGATGGAATATTTGAGCACCTCTGAATATGATAATGAAGTTGTTAGTGTGGCTTTCTGTGGAAAGAATAGCAATATAATTTAATGTTTCCTCTAGAAATTTCATACTGAATATACTCATATTGTTTTTGACGAAATATTTTAGCATCACCATTTGTGATTAGGAAAGTTACATCTGTAACATTTTTTCTTAGACAGTGCTTCAAGGTTAGGATTATGTTCTTCTCAGCCAGGCATCTCTCCTTTACTTCCCTACTCAGTCTGCAAACCATGGGATTCACTTTTGTAAGAAGCACAAATTTGATTCTTACACATTTGTGTAAGAAAAGTGTAGGCCCTGGATTTTAGGAGCTGTCAAAGTTGCTGATTTCAAAATAGAATTTGTCAGACTCAGACAAAATTAGAACCAGAAAAGGACTCATGCCTACCTGTCTGGGATAAATATTGTCCAAAGACATTCTAAAAGCACATAACAGAGTCCTTCTCCTTGTACATACATCCCATAATTTGCATGCCTCCTACCTCTACATATGCACTGATTTCTGTAACTAACTTTATCATTAACATCCATTACGACTGCAACAATTCAGTCAAGATGTTTTGGACAGTACACTTGCCCAGAAATAGCACCTCCACCAATGAGCGGAGGAGAACTCCTGCCTTCTTGGGTCTCTAAAACCAGTGAACTTTCTAAGTAGCTTATTTAAATTTCTCCCTGGTGTCTTTATAAACTTCCCCTTGCCTCAATTTCTTTGACTATGTTCATGGTTAACTTCTCTGTTATGGCCAAGAAAATACCATTATTCTTTGGAGAATCCATTTCTGATTGTTATTTACATTGACAGGACCTCCTGGATGGTAGCAGTGTCTTTGCTACAATATTTCAAGGTCTAAGCTCATTACCACCAAACAGTGAGGCAAGAGGAAGGCCTTTAAGCTTGAGCTTCATTAACTTGATTCTTTCCTGTCTCTACCTAAGGCATCTGGCCATAGATGCCTGAACATGTGCTTTTGTTGTTCTCTGCACACCACTCGAAATGCACCTGGAGTCCCCAAATCTCCCTCAGGATACTTTCTTGACAATGTCTCATTCCAGGACTCCTAGTTCATTTTTAGTAATAACTTTTCTTTCTTTTTTTTCTATCCTCATATCTCCCTTGTGTGCTCTCGCTTTTATCTTGTGATCAAAGTTCAATCCCATTGTTGTGTTTGCCTTGATCTAATGTCCGCATATGAGGGAGAACATATGATTTTTGGTCTTTCGGGCCAGGCTAACCTCACTCAGAATGATGTTCTCCAATTCCATCCATTTACCAGCGAATGATAACATTTTGTTCTTCTTCATGGCTGCATAAAATTCATTTTTAGTAATAACTTTTCAATGCCATTTTGTTGTTTGCCTTTGCTGCTCTTTAATTCCAAGTCAAAACACAAAATAAGAAGATGTCTGATATATTTATTATGTTTTTTGAATCTAAAGTTTCCTGATAATTCATAACAAATGCACTGAGGTAATATACTAAAGGTGTATATGTGATATCAAGGACTCAAAAGAATATCAAGGCTTATGTCACTGAATTGCAGCTCAATAAAATACAAAATTACATGACAGATGCTCAAATGACCAGTGTTTCTTTAATAAGGATAGGTTTAATTGGCATTTGTTTTTTAAAAAAAGCACCATTACACAGGATTTGAATAAGTCACAAGAACAACAAGATAGTTTCACACACAACAAGCAACAATATTTTCAAGGTTTATCTTGTGGTTTATATAAATTTTTAAATTTCTTCCTATGTGCTCCTGATCACTGAGATAAATGTCTTAGTCTACAGAATGCTGTGAAGAGCATTCCTTTCCCAAGTCCCTATTTTCTAGAGAAGTTTGTGAAAATAGCTACTTTGCCACAACTAAGAGTGACTTTTTGTTCACTGTAGGAAGCCCAGGATCAATCAAAACAATAAAATCACTAAATCTGTGTACAATGGAGCAGCATTCTGGCTCCTTGCTGAGGCATAAGACAGTTTATTTTACACATCCAACCCAACTCATGTCAACCTGATGGTCTGAAATAATTGATACAAGTCCCAGGTCCTCTGCTGACTATAGTCCACACTGGCTTGTTCATCTCACATATAGGTCCTATGGGCTTTCCATCAAACTCTACATTGGTTTTCAATATCTAAAAATCAAAAGAATTCACACAAGATGTGGACTTTTTATTTCTTTTATAAAATTCCGAATTTCTGGTGACACAGGCTTCCCTTGCTCACAGTGGGGACTGAGCATAAGCTGCTCCACTCCCCTGAGGTGTGGTCCTCATAATTCCCAACCACTCCAATCATTCCTGTTCCTGCTAGCTCCAAAGCCAAAACTGAGTCACCTTTAGTCATCCTAAGCACACTATTATTTCATTGTGTCCATTAATGTCTCTATCATCAGTGGGAGAATGAAAGATAAATGATGAAGCTTTAGGTTTTAAGAAAATCTGTGGAAAATAAGCTTCTTTGTGTGCTGAAAGGATATTTTTCCATGTTCAACACAAAAATACACCTGTCTGTGCTGATGGATTGGAATATAAACCACCCATCATGAAACCAATTACTGGCCTACCTCATTACCTCACATATCTTATGATCTCTTTAAACCATGAGGTAATTTGAAGTTATATTGTCTGACTTAAAAATGCTTCTTAAGTCAGCAGAATTTGAGTTTTGTTTATGTGCTGGAAAAAGGCATGAATCAATGGTGCTCTTACTACTGAATATGTAAGCATTAACCATAGGTCACTTAATGATGTCCAAGTAAACTAAGAAGATAAAATAACCAACCTAAGGAAAAGTAGATGTTTGTCCTCCAGCTAAAAGTGGTTCTCATGTGATTCTGATGTAACACCATAGTTGCAAATTGCTTACTGAAATTCAAGGGTTAACATCTGTCTTGGAAGCTGGAGAAGGTCCTCACCACCCTGTGAAATTGCACCATGTGCCCGACCACTGTTATCACCTCCTCACAGGTCTTGTCTGCCCAAATATACAAAGTCAAAAAATTAAAAATATAGAAAAGACAATCTATCTTCTGTTTGTAATATTGCATTTCTTGCAATATTAAAAATTGCAATAAGCAGTTTTTAATAGTACTCTGCTTTGCTTTCTTTTCATGCTGCTGTGCAGATATAATAGCTATTTCAGGTACTGGGCATGTGGAAGATGGATTTAGAGGCAATAATATCCATCTTGAAAGATGCAGTGTCTTAGAGTTTGAGCAGAGGCTGTGTGTCACCACCCAGTGACATTGTACAGATGGCCTCCTGATGACTGGTAATGACTCCTTTCACCATAAATACCAGAGAGAAGAATAGTGATTTTGACACAAGATGACAGCTGCAAATGGGAGGCATAACAAAAAGTGCTTTTGAGTTTGAAGTCAGATGAATGGTATGCTAAATATATGACTGTCACAGAACAACCCATGGCCTAGAGTAGGCATTCCACAGATACATGCTGATAGGATGAAAGCAAAGTTAGACATACAGGTGTCTTAAATAGATTGTATATTAAACACTGTACAGTTCTTCACTTTTTCTGCAGTGAGTGACTGTTAGCTACATCTAGTAAACAGATTTGTAAATCTTTCTGCTAAGACATAGGAAGCCTCATGAGGTCAGATAAGGATAATTCATTCATCTAGCTGCAATCGGAACTTGGCCTAGAAGAAGCAGTATGATACAGATGGTGGCTTATACCTCTAATCC